TTTTTTTTTTTTTAATTTTTTTTTTTCAACGTTTATTTATTTTTGGGACAGAGAGAGACAGAGCATGAACGGGGGAGGGGCAGAGAGAGAGGGAGACACAGAATCGGAAACAGGCTCCAGGCTCTGAGCCATCAGCCCACAGCCTGACGCGGGGCTCGAACTCCCGGACCGCGAGATCGTGACCTGGCTGAAGTCGGACGCTTAACCGACTGCGCCACCCAGGCGCCCCCCACAGCTTTTAAGAGAACAAAAATCTTGATGCATCCTGCAAAAACTCTACCCCATATCTACACATTTATGTATGGGACGCATCTTACAGCTAGCGTTTTGTATCTACCATACTAACAAATTTCTAATAGTAACATTGATGTTTTTTGACTGCAAGAATTTACAATCATTATTACAAGTATAAATTAGTATGTATCATCTGGAAGGCACATAAATTACCAGTAGCTTAAAAACAGGTAAAGCACATGGATCTGAGAAGTCAATTTAATGAATCTTTCCTATTGAAAATATTTAAAAACATTTCTTAAGCCTTCACTACAAGGCTCATTACAACACTGTTTACAATAATGAAAAGAGTTATAATTTGATTGTCTACGGTAGGAAATTGGTTAAATTATGGTATATCCATACAATAGATTACTATGAAACTATTAAAATGAAATAGACTACATGTATATATTACATGAATAATACGATGCTTGTAGACTTTAGAATTATAAATAGAATGTATGTTTTTCTCTTTATTTCTAAATTTTCAATTATTAATAGGTATCCTATGAGCATCTTACAAAGTTTCAGAAAATCTAACCAAAACTAGCTTATATGAAGTAATATAGTGAACAAGATTAACATTTGTCAATGTGCTTGAATAACTGGCTAACTCACATTAAAAGTAATGTATCTATTTTACCTTTTCCTTTCTATGTTCTGCTTTTGTGCTGTTAATTCTTTCCTCGGGCATCTTCTTTCCTGGTAATCCCAAGGTGGCTCTGGCAACTCTCAAGGTTCTAGACCTCTTCCTTCAAGTCCAAAAGGGAAAATGGCATCCAAGCCCCAGAATTCCAAGCAAAAGTCTTGAGACTCCAACAAGACTCACAGGTTTTCAAGCTCCCAGTCCAAACCCATTCCCCCTTAAAAGATGTAATTTAATGCTGATTGGCTTAAACCATTTGAGGTCATCTCCAGCAGCTGAGTGTGGTATCAGTCTCATGCAAGCCAGTTAGCTGAAGTCAGGAAGGAGGGCAATTTATTTTCTAAAAGATATTCAAGGGCATCTTGCAGAAGAAGTGGGAAGGATCCTGGAAGGAAAGAAAACATAAACATCCACTGTACACGCACACGATATTTGTAATATTAGAAAAATAAAAGTTACTATGTTAAAATGTGTATTTTTCTGTCTCACTGTACCATCTGGATATGAAGGACATAAAGCAATTTCCCACTCCAACAACGAAGCCAGCCTCCTGGAGCCAGCTATCAATAAAACAGTGGAGTCATTACAATAACTCAGTTATTTGCACTTTATGCATCTCTCCACCTTTCACGGTTTAAGCTCTCCCCAAAGCTTGCTGCTGGGGTCTGCTCTTCAGCCATCCCCCATACAAATAGTGCCTCTTGTCTTTGAGCTCCCTATTCATGCAACCCTGATCAACAATCTCCAGGGCTTTCCAATTATCCCTGAAAGGACACACAGAGTGAGCTCTCCAGCTAATAATATTACTAACATCTCTGGCTTATTGGATATATAATTTGTGTCACGTAAAGATTATCTCCAATGCTAACGACAATCCTACCAAGTAGGTGTTATTGTCCAAATTCATAACTGAATGAGGGAAAAGAGACTCAGAAAGTTGAAATTTTCCAAGGTGAAATATTTAGCAAATGGCCAAACCAAGATCTGATCCCAGCTCATTTTAAATTAGCGTGCTGTTGTAACCTCTGATGTGTCGTGCCCCCCAGGGAACAAAGTGAACCTCACACACTGACCTAAGACTCCACGAAATGGGACAGAAGTTTTTGTCAAGGTAAAAGGATAAGGAGAACTCCTCCTAATCCGTGTCACCATTTTACCAAGCTAAAATAATGAAGACATTTAAATATTTCTTAAGAAGTCTTTTTCTTTCAGAATCACTTAAATCTATGACCCTATTACTCTGTTTTAAAGTGTGCCTTTGGGTTTGGCTCTCTCTATAATTCTAATTTGCAGCAAATTCATAATGAATACCTACACAAACCACATCTGGCTTCTGAGCTTTTAGCACACTTGAAGAGAGTTCCTTTTTTTCTTTTTCTTTTCTTTTCTTTCTTCTTTTTCTTTCTTTCTTTTTTTTTTTTTTTTTTGGAGGGGAGGGGGATAAAATCATTCCTTGTGTTAAAACATACAGTTTAGGCCCACGATTTAAGGGAGAAAAACTGGAATCAGGATTATAATCACAGTATTAATGACGTATTCATTGAAAATATACATTCAGAAAATATATATTTATAAAATTACAGACTGGAGCCTAAACTGATATATTACAGATAAGAACATTGAGACTCACAGAAATTCAGTGTCTGATCCATAATCATAATTCTTGGAAATACCGCCACCACAATCCAGGTATTCCAAATTGTCAAGCGATTTTTTTTTCTATTAAATAACAGTTCTAGGTTTCCTTAATAAACCAATAAACCAATTGTTCTAATTGGTTTTTCCGAAAGAAACATTTATTAAAAATTAAAATGCTGCACAGAAAATTTTCACTAAAAAATCTAAGCAATATGAATTTTACTTCTCATTTAGTCCTTTTATTATAACATCATTAAACACTAATAAAAATTCCATATATAGCTCTACAATCCTATGACAGTGCCTCATTGTTTCTTTTCATCCAACTATTTGGCTTTGTGCAAGCCTAGTATATTTTTGAAAGCTCAGGTAATTCAATAAATGTTTCAAAAAAACCCAACTTACTTCAGGATTCAAAAATCTTCCTTTACTTGTTAATCCATTATTTCCTTTAGTTGTTGAAGTCTTAGAATATCTCCTTGTTAGAGTCTCCTGATTTTTCCTTAAAGAGGCAAAAATAGTATTTGGTCTTGCAAACTTCATCTTCTATTTCTGGGAGCATCTGCATATTACAAAGCTCTTGCCCCTAACTGGCACATTGTGAAATTGCCTAGTCTCTTAGTTTCCAAATAGAGTAAAGTCTTAGGTAGGTAAGACATATAGCTGACTCTGTAGGTAATTTTTCTGGAAAAAAAAAATTAGAACCACTTACGTTTGCTTATTTATGATTTTTTTTAAAAAGTTGAATAAAGATGCATGACCGAAGTATCCAAAGGAGAAGCAACATTCAGAACAGAAGTGTGTAACTTCCCCTCCCTTCTTCCCTAGATCAGAAAACAAATGAATGTAAATTCTGGTCCTCGCTGTGGATTTCAGATTAAAGACACATGACACAACAGTTGGCTTTAAATCCAAGGGGTCAGAATGGAAAGTGTAACTTTTAAGTAATTCATCTTTTAGGATTGGTATCAGACTACTGTTATACTAGAGAAGACACATGCAGAAAACCTGTGGTCTCTCCCATAAGGGCTTTGATGTGGATTCTTCTTTTTTCCTTTTCATAAAAATGTAACTTGAAAGAAGAGAATAGCTCTACCTCTGAAAAATGATCCTGCTCTATTAAGAAGCAGACAAGGCAATAAGTTTAAAACAAAATTTAGGTGAGAGGGGGAGAAACAGCTGTAGGAATTAACCTAAAGTTCAGTAAACCTTGCCAAGACATGTGACAGTGCTTAACTTGCCCAGAGTGGGGACTCTCCTTAGAGACCTCTCCAAACATTATCAAACGCATTCCCTTTGAACGAGGCCAACTCCTGATATAATACAAGCGAATCAAACTCAGGCATCTCCCCATAATGGGATTCAGATTCCTCGCAAACTTGGGAGTGTTGAAGGTTTAATTACCCAGTAAAACAAGAAAAATGCATTATACAGTAGAGATAAATGAATAGGAACACCAGGGAAACATGTTTCTCCATAAGTCATTTGGTCACATGATTTCTTCCCCATTTCCTTTCCCTATTATTATAGCCATTTTATTACACTGCTCCTAAAGACAGAGGGCAAAAAGCAAAATACTCATAGCTTCCTTGAAGTACCTCCCAGATTGAATGTAATAGAGCACAATTCCTGAAATGGCTTAAAGCTTTATAAAGGCTTCTTTTTAGTGTTTGTCAGATAGGAAAAAGCTGGTCACTATCAACCACTATAAAACCAAGTAGGCACCAAAAAAATGTCAAGAAAAACAGTGGATTGAATGTGTTCTTTTCTCTCTCTCTCTCTCTCTCTCAATCTCGCTCTCATTCTTTACTGGAACATTTTTCTTGTGTTTAATTGTTTCTCTTACAAGGCTACATTAATCATTGAAAAGTACCTAAATTATTTAGGTCTTAGGACTCAGTAACAACAGCTAAGAACTAAATTACTCCTTTTCCACACCTCACTCAGGAGTTTATGAACTGTAAGTGAATACAGATGTTTCTTACCTCAGGATGGGGTTGTGTCCCAATAAACCCATTCTAAGTTGAAGATATCCTAAGACAAAAATGCATTTAATACACCTAGCCCGCCCAACATCATAGTTTAACCTAGCCCACCTTAAATGTGCTCTGGGCACCTACCTTCGTCTGCAGTTAGGCAAAATCATCTGATGCAAGCGCATTTTACAAGAAAGTGTTGAATATGCCCTGTAACTTATTGAATGCGGTACTAACAGTGAAAAACACAAGGGCTGCATGGGCACAGAATGGTCATAAGCTATCGGCTGTTTACCCTCACGAGCGTGTGACTGGCTGGGAGCAGCAGCTGGCTGTCTCCGCCCAAGACCACCAGAGTGTTGTGCCATGTATCACCAGCCCAGGAAAAAAAGTCCCAAATGCAAAATTTGCAGTCCAGTTTCTATGGCAAGATTCTTGTTTTTGGACCACCAAAAACTCAACAGATCCAAAACCAAACCATCGTAAATCAGGGACCATCTTTTCTCCCTTGTCATTTTTCACCCTGGACCCAATCCCATCCTCCTCTCCTCTGTTTCTTTTGATCCTTTCACACTCCATTTTCCATTTAATGCTTAGTTTTATTTATGAATGTTAGACCAAACTTTGATATAAGGATTTGACATTATGTGATACAGATATAATAATCATGAGGATTGCAAAATTTTTCTTCCAGACCGTTGTGGAGCATTAGAATATGTTATGAAGGACAATCATGACGACACAGATCTCCAAAGTTACACAATATAAAACCAATAATAGGTTTTGGACACGAATGAATATATTAAGAGAAAAGCAAATAGGAAATAGAATACTGTTGCACTGCTGTATTTATAATTTTCCCCCAAAATATGAAAGAAAAAAATAAAACGCTAAATATTCCCAGGAATAAAATAGCTTTAAAACTGCAAGAATGGATTAACCATATCACTGCTTGTGATTTCTTTAGAGCGGCAAAATGAACAACAAAAATGAGGACCAAAATGTGAGAAAGAGAAAATGCTGGCCATTTTCTGTTACAAAGTAGTAAAAAAGAAAAAACAAACAAAAATCTGAAGCCTGAAAAATACATATAAATATCTTACATGAACACTATTTGTAATAAAAGAAGAAAAAGAAACAAAACCTGAGAGCATATTTTAAATAGGGTAGATTGATACTTATTTGCCTAAAGCTGTCCTGTCTAATGAATAAAATCTTGGCATCTTCAGTTCTCCAGAACTATACATCATTTTTATAAGAATTCTCAGGTTCAAATCAAAAAGAAAGTGATCATACGCAGGTGAACCTAAGTTAAGATATGCCAGTAGTTATTCTCACGTTAAGAGTCAGTAACTATAAATTTCCAAACAGCTTACAAGCTCTGAAAACATTTCCGATCCAATTTGTTTCTCCTTATCCACCCTCCTTTCTGTTTTTCTAAGGTGGTCTTCATCAACATCGCTACAGTGCAGAATGATCTAGCCAAACCGCCCCAACAAAAGAACCTTTATCCTCTGGAAGCTGCCGAATCAGAGCCACTTGACTGTAATTTCAGAAGTAATGACAGGCCTTAGGACTATCATTAGGGTACTTTAGGCAAGAAAGTCTAAACTGGGATTTTTGCTTGTGCATGTGTAGTACTGAGCTAATTTACCGTTAGTGCAGTCAGGAACCCTGAACAAGCTGTCTAATGTGCCCACTCCATTTCTGGTTGACTACGAAGTGCAGAGATTAGTACTCATGCCATGTCAGCAAGAGCGACACGAGCTTGACCTTTCTCCAAACAGGAGGGAGACAGCTCTTCCACAGCCTTTTCCTGTATGAGCTCTTTGCAGGGCATTGTAACATATCATTACCAAGACATCACTGCCAAGGGTTGCCATTTTAGAGAAAACATACAAATGGCCCAATAATGGGTTTCTTCATGCGTCAATGGAAGCCGGTAAAAGGAGCTTTGTTTGTGTCCTTATTGTCTGATGTACTGGAACTAGAGTGTCTTTTTGACCTCTGTATTGTCATTCATATCTCTCAAACACAATACAGCCAGGCTACGAATGGAAGAAAAAGTGTTTGTAGAAATCAGCTGTAACCGGGTTGTCTCATCTGGCCAGCTTGGGACCAAATGCTGTCTGTTCACATTGAGCTAAATGGGAATGAGGAGTCCAGATTTATTCTTCCTTCTTCATGTAGAGCTGGCCCAGCTGGCAGTATAGCCTCTCATGCATTGTGTTCTCCTTTGTCAAGGCATATCGGCTTGGACTTCGGTACAAGTGGGGCTAATGATAACACCTCAGCCTCAGGACTGTCTACACAAAGAGCTGGTAGACCAGGGGATGGTGTTGGTTCACGAATTGACTTACATGTAAATAATTTGAAGTAGAAGAGGCCTCTGGCCTGTTTCTCTAAAGGATGTATACCAAAGAAAAGAGAAGGCTGACTCATAAACCCTGTGGTGAGCATGTTTTTTTGACTCTGGCATTTATTCCCTCTTTTTTATTTATTTTTATTTTTTGGCAAGAGCCTAGGTTTGGTTTGGGCGCCTCCCACCTTCCATTCAGTCTAAGTGCTTGGGTGGGGCTCTACCCCTATCTCAGCCCCGAAGTTCGTGCTAAAGGCCTAAGCCAATCTGTGGGTGACATTTCTCATCACAAGACTGCAGAGGAGGGAAAAAAAAAGCCCTTCAATGTACACATGCTCCTTGAAGTGCTTACAAATCTAGGGTCTGAACCCAGTTCATTGGTTTTGGTTGTCTATTCATCTATTTGACTGACCTTATCAGAAAGAAGAAACAGGATTTATAATTTTAAGTTTCTGTTTAAATTATCTGCTAAAATTAATAGCTGTCAGAAACAATATAATACATTTTGTTCAACAGAACATGGGCTTATGTATTGCTAATTAGAGTGAATAACAGTCTAGGTTGGGAGTGCCTTTAGAAACCTCGATTGCTACATGTTAGCTCTATGGAAGATATTCAGTTGTATTATTCTGAAAGAATCCTGGGCAGTATCTTGAAGAGATGTTTTGAAATCAAATATGAATGTAATTAATAATATCACGAGTGATACCTCTTATTTTCTTATTTTTATCTAGAAGAAATTAGACAGCCTGCTAAAGATGCCATTTTTGTAACTGAACATATCACCTTTTTTCATATTAGAGGGACAATCAAGACAACTATCACAGTCGTGAGCAGAATGTGAGAAAATTTCATTAATTCATGCTCCCATAAATTAAAAGAGCCTATCATTTCATTCATAACGGGCTGAAATTGTGCTTTGTGTTCTGATTCTTAAAACTCTTTATTGTGAAATGTACACACAAACAGGCCATACAAAGGAAAGAGATACAGCTCAATGATTTTTCATAAACCAAACACCTGTACCCTACATCAAGAATGAATACGTTGCCTGTGTCCTCATTTCCCTTCCCAATCACTACCCCTTCTTTTTCATGATCCTTTTCATAGTCATTATGCTGATTTTATGGAAAATTTTATGGAAATTGCTCTTTTTTACCTTTATGTCTAAGCATGCATCTCTCACCCTTATCATTTATTTTTGCCTGTTTTCTTTAACTTGACATAGATAGAATTATACAATATATCTTCTTTTGCACCTGGATTCTTTCATTCGACATTGTCTTTGGGAGATTCAACGATGTTGTTTCATATAGCTCTAGTTTATTTTTTTGTCGTATTCGTGCTTATTGAGTGACATTTTTATTGTTTCTACTTCTTGTCTATTACTAAACTTTACAATATTACAAAGAAGATCTATATAGTTGCCATAAACATTATCATACATGTCTGTGGCAACACAGACTTGCACTATTCTTGAGTACA